TGGACTGCTCCCTGTCCCGCACCGGTGCAGACCCCATCTTTACCTCAGTTTTTGTCTCTGAACCAAATTGGTACACTATGAAATCGTTTTACATGTCTGAGATGCTTTCCTGACACGCAACTTGCACCTGAACTCAGCCAAGTGTCAGCCCGCACTGCAAAATAGAATAAGTGTGTATAATACTTTATATAATTACGTATTTATACATTTACACAGGAAGTCTCTTGTAGAGTAGAGGTACAACTTTTGAGGTCCTCAAGCGCAAAAAGTGGAGCAAAAGGGGGACTTGTCAAGCATAATATCATGTACTTTTTAGCTAGGTCTTTCGGCTAAAAACGAGCGTTGCACAAATTCCAGTGGGATGGGTTTTAATAATTCGAGTCGAAGATATTGCTGCTTTTACTAAAAGAAAGTTTTGTCAAAGGTTGTGACTGGAGTTTGGGTGGTTCCTGCATTAAAAAGGAAATTCCAATGTTTCTCTCAGAACCCAAATACTTCGCAACTTGAAAGCTGTGTGCCTTTGGTGCGACATACACACGCCCGGGAACAACACAGGTGCACTTTTTTTTGGTGCTCAAAAGAATCTCAAAAGACCCCCTCAGAAACCGTGAGCGAACCGTGAGCAAGCAGCGTGAGCAAATCGTGAGCAGGACCTCAAGTGTACAGTAAAGAACTGAAAAGTACATTGGTGACACTTTTCTCCAATAAAAACGGGTGAGCAAACCGTGAGCAGTACATATAATCTTCAGTCTTGGATTCCAGAAAATTCGATCATGGCATCCTCGAAATGACAGATGCCGCCTGTATGGGCTTTGAAACATCGAATCTTGTGGTGGAATATACAAGCCTTGGAGCCAAATAAAGTACAGCCAGGAAGAAAACACACAGCAGACTCTGTGGGTGTGGGATGTGGCATGTGTTGAACCTGTTGAAACTAAACCCTTTGCACCGCTCTGAAACCCTCGGCCCTAGAATGCTCGGCACCGCAATATCACTGCTACAAAACTCTCGGCCACAGAATCCTCAACATGTTGGACACACACCGGCTGTAGAATCCTCAGCGGTCCTATATATATGTATATACTCTCGGCGAAAGTCCCGGTTCAGGCACACTTTTCGCAGGGGTGTACTTTTTAGGTCATTGGTCCTGGGTATGCACATCTATATAATTATCTATACATATCTATACATATGTGTATAATGTGTATACATGTATGTATATATATATATACATAATTCATCATACCTCTATGTGTGTACGAACGTATCCCTGTTTCTGCATCTTGAGGCCTTTGCGGAGCCTAGGCTCCAAAGTCTGGCTGGGCGATTCCGAAGGCACCTGCATTTACAATCACTCGGACAAATTCGGCTCAAAAGCACGTATAACTGCACAAGGCACTGCATGGCACTGCACACCTCGTGTCCAACTTCGATTCATTGGAGCAGAGATCAGCAAAATTATATGAAACATCCAAAACTGGGCCAGATTTTTTTTTTGTGACTTTGCACCTGTTGCAAGCACCGCTCCAGTGCTGCAAGCCGGTCACTGACCTGGAGCAAAACTTCACCGAAGAGGTGAAACGCAGTGGAGGTGAAAGGACCGAACAATTCCTCCCGTGGCTTTGAGCATGTCTGAGTCTACCTCACACTCCAACAGTCCTCAGTTTCCAAGACTATTCGATGCAATGTAGTCACAACATTGCTAGAAAACAGGACTGTTTTTCCTGTCGGAGCCAGTATAAGTTCAGCAAAAAGGCACATAGCATTGATGTTTTTCTTGGATTCGATGAATTTCTGCGGCCTTCTGATGGTAGTTTCGCATCGCAGTACGAAGTGTGGTCAAAGCTGCACCCCGATCCTCGAGCCTTCTCCTGGCAGTGCCATCTGGTCATGACTTTAAAGAGTCGTGACAAATAGATTCATATGTGCATATATATGTATATATATGCTACCCCCCCTGAAAAGTCTACCTTTTTTGTGAGTTTGGAAGGGTCTCAAGATTCCAGCTGTACTAGAGTGGTGATAATATTTTGTCATCAGTCCACACATGGAAAATTCTGAAGTCATGGGTGGGCTGCAAACTTCAGTCATCAGTCCAGAAGTAGGAACTTCTGAAGTCATGGGTGGGCTGCAAACTTCAGTCATCAGTCCAGAAGTGGGAACTTCTGAAGTCATGGGTGGGCTGCAAACTTCAGTCATCAGTCCAGAAGTGGGAACTTCTGAAGGCATGGGTGGGCTGCAAACTTCAGTCATCAGTCCAGAAGTAGGAACTTCTGAAGTCATGGGTGGGCTGCAAACTTCAGTCATCAGTCCAGAAGTGGGAACTTCTGAAGTCATGGGTGGGCTGTAATCTTCAATCATCATTCAATAAACTTGCATGATCATGGGCAAGCTGGAAGCATAAATTTCAAGCCAGTACTGGGAATGAAGCTCACACAACGAAGGAAGGAATCAAGCACATGTCCGGCGGCATAGCAGCAATTTCTTTCTCACCGGTGATGTCCTGGCGCACAAGCGTTCAAGACGCAGGAACCACAATCTCAGACATGTAAGCGGACAGGAGTTCTCCTGTGCGCACCCACATGTCGTCCCCCCGGTACCAATACTCATACTGGGCAGAACGAATTTGGGCTTGCAAGCGGCCCATGCCAGCACGAACGTTCGTCCCTTTCGACAAACGTTCCTTAATAAATTTCCAGCAGCGGTCAATGTGCTGGGTGCCACATTTCACCTTCACGGTCTTTCCCCCAGGCAACTTGTGGACTTTCATCTTAACAAAATTTGGCTTGGTCCATTCCCATTTCCCATTCTTTTTGACACGCTTTTTCTGGTGGACAACCGAATCATGAAGAACGCCAGGGAGCTTCATCTTGTACGCCTTGGCCGAGTCAGTGTGGAAAATCACAGAGCGGTTGGCCAACCATTTCTTGCCCAAAGGCCCCCAATCCTGTTTTGTGATGGGGCCGGGGCCTGGAGACCGGGTAGCTGTCAATGTTGGGCTGAGTCGGGCAAGCACTAGTGTCTGAGGCTTCCCTCTCTGAACCAATCCGCTCCATTGTTCCCAGAGCATGGAGCGGTCCGCTTTCACTTCATGCTCCCAGGCTGCGTCTGACAAGACATCCCTCTTGTCAAAGGTGGCTTCATCACCTTCGACATCAGACCATTTTCCAGAAGCGCCAAATTTGATGCCCTTCTCCTTCTGCACCACATACTTCTTTCGGACCAGTTGCAGGTTCTTGTGCATGGCTTCAACAACCTTGTGGTTCACACCCAAGATGAGGTGGATGGAAGCTAGTGGCACGCGTAGAATCACAAGAAGTAACAAGGCTGATTGGATTTGGAGCGACAAAGCTTCAGGGCCCCTGCCAGCATGGAAAAGTGGATGCAAGTACTGGGGGTGGATTCTTTGCTGGCAAGCTTTGCTGCTACATCGGTATTTCGGCTTGGCCTCGTTGCAATGGGTTTGCAACGTAGACAAAGTGCCACGGTTGCACTTGGGGCAACGCTTGCCGGACCAATCTGGCAAAATCTTGTCATGGATCAGCATCTTCACAATGTCAATGTCCGAGGCCTTCAGGAGTTCAGGCACGACGCGACGCCAGTGAGCTTGTTCTCTTCGAACCCCCCGGGCTGGAACAGCACGATTTCCTCTGACATACGGCACTTGTTTCCAAGATTGCGTCTTCAAGCTGGCTGGGCGCTTGATCACCATGCGACCTTTACCCTTCTTTGGCCCAGGGAAGTTCATGAATTTGGACACCATGACAGAATGCGCAACTGCAAGTAATGATGCGGAGCAAGAACTATCTAACTATCTAAGGGCACTGTGAGCCATGTCATGTCAATGAATGCAGAATCACAAGCTGTGTATGGCGAAGCCACGCTGGAACTGCAAGCATACTAGGACATGCACTGGGACATCAGAAAAACCAAAAGCCCAAACGTGATGACCCTGAAAACCTTTTTGCCCTTGCAACAGAAAAGCTCCCAGTCTATTGACAGACATGCGCACACTCTCACGCGCAGTTGACACAAGACTGCGCCACAGTGTGAAGATGTCAAGCTGTGTCTTGAAACAGTTTAACAAGTCTAGGCCCCCCTCATGACTGCGGCAGCTTCTTCATCCGCAGCGAAGTCTTCCTCAGCAAGATCCTCGCCCAGGTCTTCTGGCATCTGTAAGGCTTCTTCGGCATCTTGAGCATTGGCTTCCAGAGATGCAAGGGCAGCAGCTGCATCAGTATCCTCCACTCCCACTGAAGCACTTGGGTGATGAGATTCTTCTTGACTGCTCTTGGTTCTGTACCTTTTGGTAGGCGGGTATGTGAATGTGCCCAAACGGTTGCAACGTTTTTTTTGGGTCAGGCACAATGATGGAAGGAGGGGGCATAACTTGATCATCGCCACTGTCTGACGAAGCACCCGATGGCCTATCAGGAAGGTGGACCGGCGGCACCGGTGGCAAATGGCTCCAAAGTTGTTCCTCAATTTTTCCATTCACAACCTCAATGTATGCCTCTGGCCTTCCTGCAGCAAACCTCTCCAGCCCTTCAGAGATCATACGCACTTCTTGTTCAGTTTCTCCTTCCCATTCGGGGCCATACTCCAAAATGCCCAACTTGTACTTGGAGTAGAGGGGCTTGTCCTTTTCAGCCAAAAGGTCTCGGTGGAGGTCATCCACCTTGATGCGATGCACCTTGGAAGTAGGATCCTGACTGGGCAGGCGCAGGTATACAGCATGGAGCCCGAGGATGATGACCACTGCCCGCTTCAAGCAAGCAAGGACATCAGCATGCTTGTCACCTGCAAAGATCCGGCGAGTCAGCTTGAGGAACTCTTCTCCTGTGATGGAAGTACGGTTGTCATCCTCAGGCTCGTCAGACCGGTCCAAGTCATTGGAAGCGTAGGCGCGCATACAGTTGCGAATGAGCTTCGCATCATTGTAGCGGCCTGATGTTGTCTGCTCCTCCTCCACTGTGAGAAAAGACTTCAAGTCTGCTATGGAAATGCTGTCACGGTGCGGATCATCCAGAAAGATGCCCTCGTAGACCTGGCCGACTTGATGCCTGAAATTGTCTAAGGACTTAGCACGCCTCCATCCAGGCACGCCATCTGCTTGTAACCGGTGGATGTGGTATCGGCCCATGGCCAATAGCATAGAGATCAAGGCTGGTGTCTTTCCCACTCCAGGCCAGCCAATGCACAAGACCCCATAGCAAATGAAGAGGGGATACAGCAGGGGCAGCAACGCCTCCGCCAGGAATGGCTTCAAAGAGAAGGTGGTCAAAGGAAACTCCCGTTGCAAGGTGGCACCGCTTGAGGCCCGGCTCTTGTTCTGAGCCATCAAGCGAACCTTGGTTTCTGGCCACCCTGCAATAGGGCTTTCCGAATCCTCCTTGATGTTTAACAAGATCCACGTGTACTGCTCATTCTGAGCGTCACTTTCTGGCGCGTTTTCGTTGATGAACGCCACACCTTGCCGAAGGACGTCTTCATCTGGAGACCAGGTCGATGATGATGAAGCGGGCTTGGCAACCTTCTCTTTCTGACAGACTACGTTCCATTGGACATGATGCCCTGGCACTCTATCGAGCAAGGATTGAAATGCCTTCTTGACTGCCCAAGGGCCTGCGCGGAAGAACGGAGGGTAGGCAGACCCAGATGCAATTTTCGTAGCCTGTCCTGTACTCATGGTAGCCTTGAAAAAGACGAGTTTGATGACATTCAAGCAGCCAGGCGCTTGTTCAATCACAATGCCACCGATTTTGGCTCCTGATGGCACCCTCTCTTTGAATTTCAAAGGGGCAGGTAGGTCATCCACTTGTTGAGATTGCAAGGTTGAAGCAATGGCTTCAGGGCTTTCGGACAGCTGGACGGACAGATGCACATCCAAGAGCATCATCGTGCTTTTCACACCCGTCGGAGGCCGGCAGCATGTGAGAAGGTCCTGGACAGTCAAGGGCTTCCCAATGTCTTCAATCTTTTTGAAGGCGCAGCAAGGCTCAGAGCGCGTCCCGTAATGCCACTCCTTGCCGCCCAAGGTGTTCATGGCCTCATCGATCAAAGCAGCCATGACCTAGGAACAGGCAGGGCGGAATCTATCACCTTGATGGGACAAAGGAAACTGCAGCGCTCAGAAAGATGAAGATGCGAAGGTGTTGCAGACATACCATAATCTCCAACTCTTTCTTCCCATGCATGAAATTCAAGCCTGCACATCAAGTCTGAACATCAAGTCTGAACATCAAGCCTGAACATGAAGTCTGAACGTCAAGTCTGAACATCAAGTCTGAACATCAAATCTGAACCTGGATAGTCTATAGCCCTATCTAGTCCAGCTGGAAATTTTTATCATAGGTATACAAGCTCTACACCCCCAGATGCCAGAATCATGTGCACGTGACGGGTCAGACTGTGCTTCACAGCACCGCAACACTTCAACACGCTTTTTCCTCCGCAGCGCTTCCTCGCTCAAGCTCACCTCTGGGCCCGCAACCGAGCATTCTCCTGTTCAGCTGCCTCTAACAATTCCGCAATGAGCTGGTGGATTCAGCCAAAGACCAAAACTCTTCTTCCCGTTCCTGGCACCGCTGGCACTTGGCTGGACGTTCATGGCTCTCTTCGCAGGGGGCGGCTGGAGCTGGGGGCGCCAGGTACTCGTCATCCGTGAGGACTTCAGACTGTGGGCCCAAGGAAGGGTTTGGCATACCGTACTCATCGTCAGAAGGATACTCTGGAGGCGGCGGCAAGGATGGGTTGGGAACATACTCCGGCATCGCCTCTTCCTCCGAGGACGTAGAAGAGGAGGAATCCGAAGTAGACGAGGAATCGGACACCTTGCCATCTTCAAGTTGAAGGACCTTAGTAAGAGCATGCATGTGTGCTGGGGGTGCGGAACAGGAAGTGTAAGAAGAACACACTCTGCACTTGAGATGAAAATTAAGGCTAGCACTGGTGCAGGTGCTGCAATGGCTGGGACGACTGGCTTCGGAGTCACCACCCTCTTTGGCTTTGTCAAGCACTCCAACAGCCTTTGTTCTGCAGCTGCATTCCAGGCACCGTGCAAGCCCACGGGGTCCAAGTGGAGCCCCTTCTGGGCGTTGCAGACCATCGCCGCCAGGTGTTTGCGGAGGAGTGGGAGCCGGGTTGGGTGTACCGGCACCTCCTGTCGCAAAGCTCTGTTCAGCAGCGCTTCCAAGTCGGACCTTGGCCTCTCCTCCGCTTGGTTGTTGTTGGTGGCGACATTCAACACTACCAATGCCTGGTTGTCCTTCAAGGTGACACGGCCTTGCACTGGGATCGACATCTTGTCCTGTATGTTGACTGGAGGCAGAGTGGCAATGCTTCGGGCCGAGAGCTACAAACTGTGGAGTGAAGGTGGAGACGCAAGCCTTTGACAAAGATTGACCATATCCCTCAAGTGCAAAAGCTCCTCAGACTTGAGGTCCAAGATTGAAGATTAAAGATTGAAGATTCCCCAGGAGCCTTGTTCGAGAATCTTCAATCCAGGATTGAAGATTGAAGATTGAAGATTCCCCAGGAGTCTTGTTGGAGAATCTTTAATCCTGGATTGAAGATTGAAGATTGAAGATTCCTCAGGACTCTTGTTGGAGAATCTTTAATCCTGGATTGAAGATTGAAGATTGAAGATTCCTCAGGACTCTTGTTGGAGAATCTTTAATCCAGGAGAAAATCTTCAATCTTCAATCCGGGATTGAAGATTCTCCAGGGAGAGTCCTGGAAAATCTTCAATCTTCAATCTTCAATCCGGGATTGAAGATTCTCCAGGGAGAGTCCTGGAAAATCTTCAATCTTCAATCTTCAATCCGGGATTGAAGATTCTCCAGGGAGAGTCCTGGAAAATCTTCAATCTTCAATCTTCAATCCGGGATTGTAGATTCTCTAGGGAGAGTCCTGGAAAATCTTCAATCTTCAATCTTCAATCCGGGATTGAAGATTCTCTAGGGAGAGTCCTGGAAAATCTTCAATCTTCAATCTTCAATCTGGGATTGAAGATTCCCAAGCCTGAACTCAAGTCTGAACATCAAGTCTGAACATCAAGTCTGAACTTCAAGTCTGAACTTCACAGATCAAGCAAGGCTTTTACAGGCAGTTTTTAAAGGCCTATTTACAATGTATTTATATATGGCACCCCCAGTCCAATCTTATGAAGCTTAAAATGGTAGACTTTTGGGGGGGTGCCATATATATATGTGTGTGTACATAATATTACATGATTATTATATATATACACACTATACACAGTGTATGGACATATATATATATAACATTATGTATTCGATATGTGTGCATCTTGTAGTATGTGTGCAAACAGATAGATAGTAGAGGGTAGATTGAAATAGAATCATAAATAATCGATTCATAAGTATCTCAACAATACATAATATATTGAATATGGATCCGAATATGGGTCGTAAAATGTCGCAAAATAATCATACGGTGGATGAGTCTGGCTGAGTGGACAACTCCATAAAGTGGAAGCGACATCTACTCTGTACGCTTGTGCCGCAATAGGATGATTAGGATGTTCCATTGAATTTTTCTATTGTGCCTGCCACTCCAAGCTTGATCTTTCCCCATCCAGTCAGCACATGTGAGCCAATGTCAGCCCAATAACTTTGAGGAAAAAAAACTTTGCGAGCGCAGACATTCCGTTGGAACCTTGTTGAAGGATCCAAGTTGTTGTGGCAGTGTTGTGGCTGGCTACCGCGTAAGTTCAAATTTCATCAAATTTCAAACATCTCAAGCGGTGCGATTCCTGAAGCGCATTTTGAGACAACATCGACTAGTGCGTGGCTCTGTGTGGTTCTGTGTGGTTCTGTGTGGTTCTGTGTGCGTGAGGCTTCGCGGCGCAATGCAAATAGAGTTCAGAATTCAGAATTCTTCAAGCTCAGAAGTCGTTTGGGGCGAGTCACAAGATCCGAGGTGCCAGGATTGCCAGGCGACAAGGATCTCAAACGGATCGTATCGATTTCGGACTCAAATCTTTTGGATGTGCTTTGGTCTCATCACAATACGATGCTATGAACCTTTCCTGTCTATTCTTGAGGCCCCAGTTAGATCAAGGTCTTGAAAACTCTTGAAATCTGTTTGCGCAATGCTTCGAAAGTTAAAATTCTTAAATTTCTTGAATTTGCAATTTCTGCTTGTTGTCTGCTTGTTGTCTGCTCTTCCCGCAAATTGCAGTCCTTGCAACGGAGACAGCTTCCCTGGACCTGCACCATTCCTTGCACGCGGCAGCTGCTTGCTCCTCCAGCTCGTGGACTTCAAGCTCTTGCACCATGATGTGCCATCAAAATGAAACTTCATCCAGAACCTGTTTGCTAGAAGAGCAAAATATGTAAGAGTATAATAATTGTGTATGACTGCAACACATGAGTACCAAGTGTTGACATGCTCAATTTTCAACCAAACTTTAGCCTTGAAACTTCCCTCCTCCAAGGATGCATTGAAGTCGGCCTCTCGTTTGACCTCGGCCTCAAGGTGCAGGGTGCGATTTGAAGCTTCCTGTACCTGGCCAGAGCCAAGGACAGAAACGCCATGACAGGATGCCCTTGCGAAGATGTAAGTTTGAAATGAGAAACAGGATGAAACGTGATAATTGTTATCGGATCATCCTGATCTTCAGCACCCAAGGAAACTTTGTGAATGCACTTGGCGCAGTTAAAGGGTAACCATGTAGCTTCTTGAGAAAGAGTGATCAAAAGATTCTCAAAACGCAAGAAGTATCAAGAAGTAATCATGATCAATCTCTGTTTAAGCTGTAAACAGCTGAACGAACCTCATTCCGCAGTCGCATGTTCTCCTCTTCGGCCTGTTGTGCACAGCGCTGTTCCTCTTGCAGCTCCGCCTTAGCTTCCAATCTTGGCACCTTCACCAACTGGACTTCGACTTTCCAAAAGAGACTGGAGAAATCTAACACCAAAGCCAACTATGGTCATTACGTATCAGTACATATCAGGACATATCGGTACACGCTGTAAGGGCACAAAATGTCTTGTACAAGCATCAAAAATGCCAGAGTTCGAAGAAATTTTGAAGGAAATTTTGAAACCAGCTCCGAGCTGCTCGAAGCCGTGCACACTCTCTTCGGTCGTGCCTTGCAGCCTCAGCAGCTGCCAGCCGAGCCCGCTCTAACGGCTGGCTCTCTGCAACACGGCGCAAACTCTCTCGTAGTTCCTGGCTCAGCTGCATTGCCAGTCAAATCATCTCAAATCCAATAAAGATTTTTCAAGATAATCAACTTGATCAGAAGCAATCAAGAAAATCATATGATATTATGTACGAAATCAAAGAAACAGAGGAAAATGGTTGAAAAAAGAGATGGTCGGAGCGAATCTCCAAACCGCTGTGAGGTGTTAGTAGCGATGTTTTCTTTCAAAACTCAAACTAAACCACATGCAAAAAAAAACACTGTACAGGCTTATAGAGCTTGAATGGACAAACTAAGGGATTAATTAAGATGGGATTAAGATGGGATTAAGATGGGATTAAGATGGGATTGAGCTCACGAGCCCAAACCGCACCTCGCAGTCTCTTTGGACCTCGTGCCGCACTGCCCCACGAAAGTCTGCCTAAAAGTGTGCATTGAGATTTCGTGTGGCGTGCCAGGCGTGCCATCGACCAAGGACCATGGAATCTGCAGCTTGGTTAGGACCATGTTGATTTCATTTGTTGAGCTATGTTGAGCTCACAAATTGCCACAAATTGCCAGGATGTGCTCAAAGCAAGCGTTCATGGTCATGGGACTCGACAGCGTTTTGGACTCGGCTGACCCCTGGCCTTCTGCAAAAGCCTCTGTGCCTCCTTCAGTTCCTCCTCTAGCCGCGCACAGCGGCCCTTCTCTGCATTGATTCGCTGCTCAAGGATGCGGCAGTCTTCCTGGATGAAGGAGACGCATCTGGAATGACTTGCACCTTCTCTTAAGCGTCAAAAACATGAAGTGCAAAAGGGGAAGCGATCACCACTTCAGCATTTCTGGTTGCTCTCACTGCAAGCTGCCAGGGTTCCTCCCGCTGTTGAGCGTCCCGTGCCATGGCAGATGCCAAGGAAACAGCAGCAGGAGTGGCTGGTGGCGTGACTCGCGCCTGCCGAAGGCATCTGACGTCTCCGAATGATCTCGAATTCTGGGTATCTGATGAATATCTTGGTGCAATTTTTCTATGGCTTTCCCACGCCTCTGGAGGCTTTTGTGGGGGTGTCGCCGCCTCCAAAATCAACATCATCAGGAAATAAAGAACTCTCAGCATCTTTCACCATCTTTCAACAACACAAGAAAGACCAACATGAAAGGATGAAATGGTGATAAACAGATATTGTCCCACCCAGGCAGGCGGAGCTGCCGGCACTGTATGCGCTGGCGGAGTAAGGCCATCACAGACCTGAACTCCAAAGTGCAGTGCGTATAGTGATTGTCTGCAGCATCCCAGAGTGCGAAATCTTTATGATCTTTATGATCTTTATGTATATAAAGATATGTAAAGCGTGCTCCAACCTCCACGTGAAACTTTATGGCTCCACCCTTCCGGGTTGGCTTCGCCAATGAGATCTGGCCGTCACAGAAGATTTGAAACATGCCACCGCCAGAAAGCACGCCAGACTCTACCGAGGCAGATGATATTCGACTATAATCAGAAGATATTAGATACAATGATACTACATGATACAAAACATTGTGAAGCCAAGAGAATGAAACCCTGAACCCTAACATCTATAGCGTTGGAGAAAATCTTTGATTTCGGGGGCAGTTACTTTAAGAGTGATCGGCTTTATGATGGCTATGCCGACGCCAGGGTTTGCACCGCAATGCCCATAGACAATCCATAAGAGCAAGCAAGTTTGTGATTGATCTGCAAACTGTTGAGGCACCAATCTTTCCAGACGATTATGATTAATACAGTTGTATAATTGGTGGAGAAGAAACTAAAATGCACATGCCTGCACTTCCTGCCTCATCACCAATGTTGATGTTTTGGATCTTTCCTCGCCTAGGTCACGCGTGCCAACACCAGCGATGGGACTCTGGACAAATTGCTACTCTATCTTCTCCATTCTAGGCCACAGACCCCACCTTTCTGCCGTTGATGAAAGTCCTGCGAAGGCAACTTCCGGAAAATTGCCAATAAGCTTCAATAAGCTATAATTATATGATATAAAAAAATATATACGATAAGATATTATCGAGAAAAACACAACATTGTCAAGCACTGCAAAGCAACACGAATTCGCAGCACGCTGTTCTCCCGTTTCCGCTCAGGTCTTCAAGCACCAGCGAGTTTCCATTTGCTCCCTCAACCTCAGAGAACTTCCTCTACAAAGGGTAAGGTTTAACGATCTTAACCGCTTAACAGGCAAGCAAGGGACTTGCCAAGATGGTGGCCAAAGAACTCTTGTCATTCCTAAACTGAACGAGTGAGATCCAGGCAAGTTTCAAGCGGCAGTGCTCACCGCTGACGTAGGCGTAGGACTGCCAAAATTAATCTTGTTTGAGGAGTTGTGCTCTCACCAAGAACCAAGTTTGGACAAACCCTCGACATACAGGACAGGACGGACTGGACCTACAGTTCTTTGGCCGGTGCTGCTTCAAAACAAATCACCAAATCTGATTCGATTTTGGAAATCTGCAAACTAAATGCGCTCGGAGCCTCCGGCAAGACCAGCTGGCAACATGCTTTGCGGCCAATAGAAAAGTTCCCGGGCGCACTGGGCAACCTTGCAAAGCCCAGGCACCCAAACCCAAATTACATAAACGCACATGGATATTGTTGGATACTGTGATGCCAAAGCAACAATTCAGCTCAGTAATGATTGACAATACTGTATTCATCAATTTCAATGTGTGAATGGAGTGGTCCTCAAACGAGGTCCTGCCATGCTAATAAACTCGCCAGGAGCACTGCCAGGGTCCGCCAACACCAGCCTGGGCACAGAATGACTGATTTGGTGACCCTTGGAAAGGTAACAGTTCAAGTCGATGTACTTGACAGCTTGACAAGTCACCTAGTCTGATTTGAATGAATCTTGGTTTGCGAGGCACCAGCAACAAATTTGCAACAGTGCTAGTGAAGCCCTAGTTTTTGCCAACGGCGCTGCTAACGACCCCTCCCAATTTTCCTTCCTCCTCACATACATGCCTCAGCTTCTCGGGTCTTGTCATGCATTCAGTGTGTCGGGTGGGGGGGTGGGTGGAGGCGGGTGAGGTAGCTATCCCCGGTGTTCAGGGGGCCCTAAATCCCAACTAAAGAGTTGTAACACTTGTGGTCAACAAGGCGGTATGCAGCACTCTTTTGACTGTTGTGCTAGCAAGTCTTGAGCCACGGAGTGGCGCAGTGGTACATGTATGAATTAAAGTGAACATGTCACATGTGACGCAAACAGTAATGCCTTGTGTAGACGCGTCCCCAAAAGTAGGTTACAAAACAGACACATTTTTTTCTCGTGTCGTAACATGCAACAAAATTTTAAACTTGCATAAGAAGCGCTCAGCTTATGCTCTGCAGTGAAACGTGTCCGTAGACAAATGAAGATGCTACTGCTGGCCGTGATAGCGGCTCATTGTGTTCTCAAAAATGCCGCTACGAGGAAACTGTTTTTGCTGCTGATCGGCTAATGCTTAGAATCCCACTCTGAAAGTGTACCTATAGAGGTACAGCTCGCTCTGTCGTCTCTGCCAGGTAGGTTGATGAAAGAAGATGGATTGATCTGGTGTTTGAGGTGCTAAGTCAAGCCAGGTACCATCAGCGTTTCTAATCCACCCCTCATAGGGTACCTGATACCCTTCGACATATTCAACAGATGTTCTGCGTGGATTGTACCTGTAATAAGGCTGCTGATAGTAGCCCTGACCGTGATGTCGGTTCTCAGGCGGCTGTTCATAATGTTGCCAGGCTCCTGTCTTCAGCCATGCAGCACCTGAGCTTCGAGCAGGTTCTTGGCAACGTGGTGGCTCACGGTACTGCTGTCGGCCTGAGTTTGTCCAATATGCACCTCGGGCGTGACCTTAGCGGATACGGCTTCTGGTCCGTCTGCCCTGAGGGGTCTCTGACCTTTGTCTGCCACGCTCCTCACGCCATGGTGGAGTTGTTCCTCGACGTTCTCCTGAGCCACGAGCAGGTGCCGATGCTCGGTTCGGAGTTGGTGATCTTGGCGGACGAGATGGAGTTCGTGGTCTTCGTGGTGTTGACTGATCTCGGCCGGTATTTCGGCTCATGGATCTGTTCCTGTTTGGATGTGGAGACTCCGCATATCGGAAGTTGTCTCTATACGCAAAGGAGGAACTCTGTCCTGCCTTTCTTGGCGGACTTCCTGGCGATCCTGGCGGGCCTGCATGTATTCAGCGTTCTTTTCCTGCCATCGACCTCTTCGCCGTGATTCGGCTGCTTGCGATCTAACGCGAAGGTTCTTGATGGCTCGCATGTTGGCGATGGTCATCAACGGTGAGTGAAATGCCTGGTCAGTGTCACCGAGACCAAGGTCATATACTAGCAGGTGCTTAGGTTGCTCGACGTCATTCATGATAATTTCACTGTCGAATGCTGAGCCAACCCAGCCATCCGCGCTAGCGGAGTGTTGCTGGCCACGATCCTCACTCACTATGGTTTGCTCGCCGTAGAAACGCTAATAAGGATCATGGAGTCACAATCGGCATCAAGATCGCCCTGCTGAGCTTTGATATACTCGCCCGCTTGTGTCGAAGAGACAATGTTGAAGGTAATGCGGTTTAAGGCTGATCCGTGCATTTTGATTTGGCCTAGGCATCGCTCTAAAAGATCCACTAGGATGCAGCTCCGGAAATCGGAGTGGTCATCCTTTTTAAAATTGCGCTGAGGGAACAGATTTCCGTCGCCTTGCAGAAAGTGGACTTGATGGGAGATGCAAGCGGCTCTTGCACTTGCCCACCGACTTGATGTTACGTTGTAACATGTCTCTTGCACTTGCCCACCGACTTGATGCTACGTTGTAACATGTCTCTTGCACTTGCCCACCGACTTGATGTTACGTTGTAACATGTCTCTTGCACTTGCCCACCGACTTGATGCTACGTTGTAACATGTCTCTTGCACTTGCCCACCGAACTTGATGTCTACGAGGTAACATGTCTCTTGCACCTGCCCCGCAGTTGCCTACCGACTTACGTTTGGATTGTCCAGTGTGCGGCCGGCTGTTGGATATGATGAAAAGCTTCATGTTTCGTTACAAAGCTGGATGTAAGATGTGGAACCTTTTGGGAAAGCTGGCAAAAATTGCGACTAAATAAAGCATCCCCGGGAAATTTTATTCCATACGGTCAAAATACCTTGCAAAAAACCATATGAAAACGGAAAACGACTTCCCCTCACGAGGGTCACTCAGTTTCAAGTCGCAAATTGGCAATGACAGCTGCAAAACACTGTAAATTCCACGCTATGGCGTCAGAGCCTGGAAAAAAAGGGGTCGCCTGGCGCCGTAGCCTAATTTTTGAATTGCTCCCGAAAAAAAACAGGCCTGAAGTGTGCGTAGCTGCGTGCCAGGCATACCCCGCTTGGATTGACGGACGTCTTTGTTAGCCAAAGATCATGCCTGTTGTTATGTGTGAGTGTGTGTCTGTCTATGCATGTGCGCGCCATATGATTTTGCAGTTTGCAACGGAAAGAAGCACTTCAGGTAGTCTGAACGTGGTTCACTAGTGCATGCACTTTCCACGCATGGGCATGTTGTACTCCGCTTTTGTACGATGATGCTAGCATCGGCTTTCAAACGTTTAATAATAGCCACGTTCGCATACTTGTGCCTGTCTGTCTATCTGTTTGCCACTAAAGAAAATCCGAAGTATATTTGCGAACCTTGAAAGCAAAAAAACAGTCCTTGTTGGTTCTGAAAGACTATCCGGGAATTCAAGCCATAATCTAGATCGTGACTGGACAAATCCGGAACCTGCCGCTCTTGAGCCAATGTCGGATGTGAGTTCCCAGGCATCCGGGAGCAAAGTGCTGTAGCATGCAATCAACTTGTTCTGATATGCCCCAGGCATTGATTACGTTTGGTTTCAAGTACAGCGGTCTTCTACTTTTTGAAGCTGGTCAAATCACAATCGCTGTCCGTGGTGAAAGTCTCAGCATACCTACAGTACAAACTGTTCAGGCAATTAAATCCACTGAGCTCTCTTTGCGCGTCTTTTCCACTATACTTCGTGCAATACTAGTCAAAACCCGACACAAGAAAACAACGAAGTCTGGGCTTTGGAGTACCAGTCTGATCACGAATGCACAAAATTGGTTGCACTCAGCTGCCCTGGAAGTACACATATTTTTTGAGGGATGGCAGGTGTGAACTAGCCACAGTGAAGGATCTGCAGCCAAGTGTCGACTTCGTCCAGCTTCTACCTGCACATGTTAAAGTGGATTTAAGTGGAACATCAATGGTCGATATCTTCGATATTCTTCAAGGTTTGCCGCCCAGTGCTACAAGACGCCTAAGGAATCCGAAGAATGAATTCAGAACCCAAGCTCAGCACTTGGCTGACAGCAGAAAGTTGCAGTGCGTGTCATGCTAAGCTGCTAATATTCGAATATGGATCAAGAAGTCTCCAGAATGCTATGCCATGCTATGCCATGCTATGCCATGCTATGTCATGCTCCCTGCCTCCAGGCTCAGCTCCTGTCACCATAGACTGTGATGCATTTGACACATCACTGGTGTCACTACTCAGTCTACTCCACGCGGGGCCTCTCCAGCCAGAATTTCATCCGGAATCGTCAAAGACCACAGATCTTCAACATGGAGCGTGCTGTTCCTGCAAGCGCTGCAAGCAAGCTGTAGAATCAAACTGCATGAGGGTATTGCCGCAACAAGACGCTCCTCCTGAAAGACATCTTGGACCAGCAGCTTTGGGAACACATCACCTAAAATTCACCAGTCTTTACACAGAAACTTGGAATGTGCATGCACCACAATGACAATGATGAACATGATGATACAATAAGTGCGCTAAAAAGAAGATCCACATACTCAAATGCCACCTTGGTCCGGTGTTTGGAGGTACGTGCTTCGATGCCATCAGAGAACATTCTCACATGCTTGTGGAACATCCCTGCGCCCCGATGTTTGATGAAGTTGTACTGCAGCTCTTGCAAATGCAACTGAAAATGTCTCGTTCAGCTCAACACTTTGCGCGTCCATAGCCATCCTTGATTGAGGAAAAGAACAGCCCATGCACCTTGGCTGGCTGAAATCCAAGAACACCCAACGACTGGTTGGGGAATTGCTGTGCACACACTGGATTGGCACAGGCCTGGACTTACTGTAACAGCAATTGAAAAACAGCACCAGTAGAACATGAGCCAATCAGCCGACCTAGGTTGTTTCTCCTGCGCTCTCCCCGAATGTGGTCTCTTGGGTTCTGCACCATTCAGCAACTCCCGGCCCCACACAGAAGTGGCACCTGCTGGAATCAAATCAGTCAACGACGCGCACGAGTCCATGATCGCAAGCATTGAAACTCATCTTTTGCGGATTGCACATTTGCGTCTCAGTTTGAACATGAACTTGACGATAAACATTAAAGCGCGGCAATGAAGCCAATCCTACAAGAAAAACTAACACACACACGCACACACACACACACTCTGGAGATTGGAGATTGGGGGTTTTGTGGAGGTAGTATTAATAGACCTTGTGCTCGCCTTGGGGATTCCTGAGTTTTTGCGTCCTTAATGCGCATGATTCCGCACGCTGGGTTTGTGGCTTAGCCCAGTTGTCATAAATGACAAAAAATGTCATCACATATAATCGAAACCAACAGCAAAGTGAAAGAAGGATCACAGGATTCATTGACACGGAAAAAAAATGTTATGAAATGTTTGCAGGTGCACATCCATGATCATCCATGGCCAGTGGATGCTACCCTCTCTGATGCGTAGCTTCTTTGGACAGGGTAGCATCAGAGAGCTCTGTCCCCCTACATTTAACGAATTAACATGAATTAACAGTTGACCTGTTACTGTCTGTTTGTTATAACAGGATACACACACTAGATAAGAATGGATCATTATATGATCCGGCAGGAACTGAATCCTGTAACATGCAAATTAGATCGCCATGTTGATAACAGAAATTAAGTACCAGATTGCGACAACCGTGAAGTGAAAATACAGCTGTGCGGTTCTAGGCTTGGCCGCGTGCCATGTCAGTCAAAATTGCAACGAAAAATTGCAGGTACGTCCAGCTGGCCAAGCTGGATATCCCATTTCACTGGTAGCTTCGTTGGACACAGTCCCAGTGAAATGCTGTGTCCCCCTGCATTATTTAAGAAGGGAGAAGAGGGAAGAAAAAGGAAGGAAGTTTTACATCTATCCAGATGTTACACACACACACACACCCGGCAGAGCCGGGGAAACCCTGAAAGGCAAGAGGAAGAAAAAAGCGGACACACGACGGGCCGACGGCCAAAAACAGCGCAGGGGGGGGAGGGGAACAGACGGACCTCCGGAACCAACCTACACGGCGAGACGGACCTGACAAAAACAGAGCACACACCTAAACCCAACGACACACTACGGAGAAGCCAGCAGGAGGGTTATTAGGGACCAATGGGGACTAGTTGGTGAAAAAAGGAAACAACAAAACAGGATTCAGTTCCTAACTACCTACGAGTCGTGCGTTATTCCCTTGCCGGGACCGTGGTCAAGTCTTGCCCCAATTGGCATAAACGGCTTTCAAGTTCCAGCGAATTAGGTGCACAATATGTTTCACCTCACCAGAGAACCATCAAAAGAAAGAAGACCACACCTAAAAGTCGTGTACCTGCCTGCGTTCTGTCTCTTGTAATGTAACTGTAAAAGCTGCTGCGAAAAAAAGAGGTTTCTGGATGTTCTTGAAAAACTGCGTTGGCGAGGAACCCTGGGACAGCCGGATCGGCGAGACTTTGTGAAAAGGTGCACAACGATAAGGCCAACTGCACTTTACTTAGACGAATTACCAGATTAAAATGTGTAAAAGGAATCACACTAGATAAGAATGGATCATTATATGATCCGGCAGGAACTGAATCCTGTAACATGCAAATTAGATCGCCATGTTGATAACAGAAATTAAGTACCAGATTGCGACAACCGTGAAGTGAAAATACAGCTGTGCGGTTCTAGGCTTGGCCGCGTGCCATGTCAGTCAAAATTGCAACGAAAAATTGCAGGTACGTCCAGCTGGCCAAGCTGGATATCCCATTTCACTGGTAGCTTCGTTGGACACAGTCCCAGTGAAATGCTGTGTCCCCCTGCATTATTTAAGAAGGGAGAAGAGGGAAGCAAAAGGAAGGCAGTTTTACATCTATCCAGACGTTACACACACACACACACGCCCCTTGTGGGGCAATATTTTTCAACAAAGCGCAATAGATCGCTCAAAAGAAATGGACGGTGAAAGGTACCCAGCAATTTCTCAATGTCCAAGTTGAATCGTTAAATCCAGTCCCCACTTGTATCATCCCAAGTCCAGTGAGGCACAGAGGCCCGAACTGGTGTGGAAACTGACATCTGGTGAATACGTGATCATCCAAAAAGGTTCGAAATGGTGTGGAAACATATCTGGTGAACACATGATCGCGCAAAAAAGTTTTGCGTAACAAAACATGTCATCAAACTCAATTGCTCTGTCCTGTGGGGTTTTACACACACAAGCGGGGGGAGGGAAGGGAGGGAGGGAACAAGGACAGACAGCCACAAACAACAACAGGAAAACAGGGAAAAGCAAGGCAACCGGTTGACCCGGCGCCCTTGTAAGGGTGACGAATTTGAAATTCTGATTTTTGAGGCCAAGAGACAAAATGCTGGTATTTGCAGGAGTCGTCAAAAAATGTTTGCCACATGGACATTCATTTCGATTGACACGCGTGTGTGACTCAAGAGTGAGAATTTGCGTTTCGCCTGCGCGATGACTCGATTTTGCCCTTCAAGGGTCAAAAAAAACATTAGAAATCTGTGATTTTCAATCATCCGAATCATATCAGGGCGACATTCACTCTTCCAGTTTTTTACTCTTCTCGACGCTTCAGTGCCAGAGCGCTTGTGGCAACGCAGAAGCCACAGACTGCAACAAGGCAGCGTTGCGACACCATGTCCAGCTGTAGGCCCAAGACGGCCCAAGTGTATCTTTTTTTGTACACTTGTTGATTGTTTAGGCAACGTGTTCCGTAACGGAAGGGAAGTGCTGGTCAAGGACATTAATACACCCCCACACCCCAACCCCCCTAATGATCATACGACAGCATGTGCAACGTGTACATTTGCCGTAACGTAAGGGAAGCACTCGTCAAGGACTATAATACACCCCCCCACCCCGCTGATGATCATACGACAGCATGCGCAACGTGTACATTCGCCGTAACGTAAGGGAAGTACTCGTCAAGGACGTTAATACACCCCCCCACCCCCCTGATGATCATACGACAGCATGCGCAACGTGTACATGTTCCGTAACGTAAGGGAAGTATTCGTCAAGGACGTTAATACACCCCCCCACTCCCCTGATGCGGCATGACCAAGTGAGGTCAGATGCCCACACTGGAGATTGGAGATTGGGGGGTTTTGTGGAGGTAGTGTTAATAGACCTTGTGCTCGCCTTGGGGATTCCTGAGTTTTTGCGTCCTTAATGCGCATGATTCCGCACGCTGGGTTTGTGGCTTAGCCCAGTTGCCATAAATGACAAAAAATGTCATCACATATAATCGAAACCAACAGCAAAGTGAAAGAAGGATCACAGGATTCATTGACACAGAAAAAATATATTAGAACATGTTTGCAGGTACGCATCCATGGCCAGTGGATGCTTCCCTCTCTGATGCGTAGCTTCGTTGGACAGAGTAGCATCAGAGAGCTCTGTCCCCCTGCATTTAACGAATTAACAGTTGACCTGTTACTTCCTGTTTGTTATAACAGGATACACATATATATATGTATATGTATCCCAGGTGCGTTGATTGCTTGGCGCTTCAAACAGAAGTCCCACATGGACATCAGAACCACAGAGAAAAGTGGTGCCTTCACTGGAGAGAAGGCTGCCTTGAGTCGCCAATGGATCTTGACTGACCTGCGTTGCCCAAGAATTCTGCGTGTGCTTTTCAAATCAGCTGTGTTCCAGCCTGCAGAACTTTCTCGTTGGTATACGTCTCCTGAGTTTTCGGGTTTGACAAGTTTGAAAGAGGTGAAGCTTTTAGAGTAGACGCATAGAGATATAGTTATAACTTATAACATTATAACTTCTACAGCTATAGGTTGGACATACATATAGAAAGAGATATAGATACACATACAATGTCCTGCTAGTTCCCACAAGTGATGCCAATCATCACTTGGTGAACAGTGTTAAAACCAGCAGTTGACCTAAGAAACCCACGGTGGGGCAGACTGGCAGACCACTGCATTGCCTGACCCCTTCTTTGCCAAACACTGCAGACAATTAACTACAACAGAAACCTACCCCAAGCCCTCGTCAGTGCATTGATCGCTGCTTTTGGAACTCACGTCAAGAAACGCGAAAGGGCATCACATACGAAGACTGTACGCTTAAAGTTATGTGGGTTTACAAATTTATTTGAATTATAACGTGCTTCTAAACCCTCTATAACGTCTTTATAACCTGCTTGCAAGTATGTAAAGTTTCATAACTTTTTACAAGTAAGTTATAACTTCAGGTAGCCGGCTAGGTGAAGTTGTAAATGTTTAGGTAGGATACAAGTTCTTAACGAACTTATCGGAAGTATCTTATCTAAAGATAACTTTTCATAACTATGTTAAGAGACTTAACATAAGTTCTTAGCAAAAGTTATCATAAGTTACAGAAAGTTATAAAAAGTTAGGAAAAGTTACAAAATGGAATTTGTGCAGTATGTTTAGATACCTTGAGGAATGTTTTCCGGAAAAAGATAGTTGCAAAGATGCTTTCCCGGAAAGGTTATGGTTCCCAAGAATAAGTTTTTTAAACGACAGAAGTGTGAAAAGAAAGTTCTTGTGTGTGAAGAATTTGATCTGTAAAGGTAGCTCCTGTAGAGGATACGGTCTGCAAAGACAGTTCCTGTAAAGGATAAGGTTTGCAAAGACAGTTTCTGCAAAGGATATGGTTTCTAGGACAGTTCCTGCAAAGGATATGTTCTGCAAAGATACTTCCTGAAAAGGATATGTCTCTGAAGACAGTTCTTGCAAGGGATCTTGCGCTCTGTGTTTTGATATGGACACATCGTGGCATGTGATATAGCTAATTTGCTCAAAACAGTTCCTGAAAAGGATCCAGTCTGAAAAGACAGTTCCTGAAAAGGATCCATTCTGAAAAGACAGTTCCTGAAAAGGATCCAGTCTGAAAAGACAGTTCCTGAAAAGGATCCATTCTGACAAGACAGTTCCTGAAAAGGATGAAGCCTGAAAAGACAGTTCCTGAAAAGGATCAAGCATGAAAAGACACGACTTGTTTTTTTCTTAGAACAAAACATGAATATATACCACAA